TAGCCTAAAGTAGCTATAGCACATGTTGGTCGGACGCTTATCAAACATACTCTTATACTTGCCACTCATGGATTAATAATTAGATTTGTATTGAAAGTAAGCTTTAATGTGTTTATTATTACCCTTTTTTAATGTCCAAGGATGTGATATTATGATTCTTAATAACGTCTTTTTGCATCAGAAATTATAAATGAAAGATGCAATTAATATCAAGGTCATGGTCTTGAGATCGGCAAGTTTACAGATCGGTTACACAAATACCTCGGTTCCATTTCGGTCCCTCTTCGGTTCTGCTTAGACTCTCCTAAAGTAAATTAAACTTTGATCGCGTTAAGTTAAATTTAAACAAATAAAATTGGTTATAAAGGGCTTATGAATACATCTTATAAAAATGGGAGGGCGTTGAATATTAGAATATCGTTATCGTATCGAAAGGCGCATATTTTGATATTGAATATGGTAAGAACAACTAGTCAATAAGGTCATTACTTACCTTTACATCAAAATAATAATCAATCGAGAATAATTCGCAAACAAAAATAAGGTATGTGGAAATGCTTGATATACACTTCGACTTTCTTACATTTTATCCTGATCATTTTTTCTTAAGCATTTCGGACAAATTGCTATGCTCGACATTCGTCCCATCGACGCAATAATACTTCTGCGGCTTTGCCGTAAACGTTCGAAGTCTGGTGCACTATCGTAATAAAAAATCGAAACAAAAATTCAAGCGACCTCTGAGAAAAATTGTAGTGAGGGTAGTATACCCATGAATAAGAAGCAAGATGTAAGTCACAGGTTGCGAACCTATGCTCTGCAAAACTTTTTTCTTACTATTTTTGTTTCTGAATTTACACTAGCTTCGAGATCGAAATCCTTGCTCCATTTAAACGAAAGCAAATTACTGCGCACGTTTTGAAATAGACTGAAATTATGTGTTAGATGGAATTGGGATTTTCAACCGCCCTAAAAATTCATAGAGTAGAATTCGACTTATTAGCTACATATGAAATCTTTTCCATAATAATAGAAGAAGTTGGTATCGAGTAGCCTTGCTTAGTTTGTAACTGGAGCGCCACAACATTTTAATCACAATTCTTGCTTTTTTTTTTTTTTTTTAGCATTTTCATGATTGTCTAACGTTATTTTTTCAAAACTAAACCAAATTCCTGCAGAAAATGCATTTTATTAAAAAATCATTACATCGCCTTCTAATAATTGGAGTTTTTAAAAAAAAGTTCTACTCATGAATTCTTCTGTGCAAATTCAGCTATAGTTAGCCAATTATTTATGATTATATAAAATGACTATTGAAATCGACCAATATAATGTCGGCCGAAACATCATAATTTCGCGTGTAGATTGTTTTCGATAATTGTAGTTAGTCTTTTGTAGATCTTTAATTAGTTTTTTTTTTGAGTTGGTTAAACCTTCCTTTCTTCCTTCGCGATATTTTCGCTTTCGCCATTTAACATCATAAATTTTTAATTTATGACTTTGTTTATTTTTAAAATCTCGATTTCTTCATTTTTGTTTTTGTATTTGCGCAGTTTTAATTAATTTGTATCGTTACATTGATAAACATATTGTCACAATTACTTCATTTTATTCAATAAATTCCCTCAGCTTACAAATACAATATGATCCATAACGTGATTTAATAGCAAACCTCCAAATTAATGGTGCACAAAAATTTTTTTTTTTTCGGATGATCCGTATCTCCGATTGTTTAAACAATGAATCACAAGAATTAAGGTTATGCCTTTTTTGTTGTTTTTATCGTGACAATAGTAATTAAAAAAGGTCGTTGATTTGCAGAATACATTTCAGGTTATCGAATGGTTTTTTACAAGAAATTTTTTTTAAAATTTGTATTAATTACAACTAAATTAGATATTCTTTTGGGGAAATTTACCTTATCACAAATTATAATGCTGGTCCAGATAGTTATATATCTATATTCATTCCTGGATTATCCAACGAACACTATTACAAAATCGTCCTTTGGCTCTGTTTGAGTCAGGGTATTCTATAAAGTCAATATATATATATCAACTACAATTTCTTTTTAATGAAGATAGAGTAAATTAAAGAATATTATGAAGTACATATAAGTAAGTATTACTAAGATTTTATCTTTCTTTAAAGTATGTAAAGAAACTTCATATGTGAGTTTATTAAAATAAAAAAAAAAACTAGAATACCATTTAGATATTCCATATTTCAAATGGTCGTCTTTGGTTCTCAATTTAGAGCATGACATTTCCACTTCGTCATCCTGAGATGCTTAATTATGTTAAACACGAAATTACTACCAAAATATTATAATGACTTCGATCAATCAACCCCTTTCATTAGAAAGAACACCAATAACTATATATATTTTGACATCAAGATTGAATTCAAGTAAATAATGGGTATAGGTTACTCTGTGTCGGTTTAAGAAAGTTTCGCATGGGCTTCAAACAATATCTTTTTCCTTCTCACAACCGTTTTGCATTGCCATTAATAATTGGCATACTCGTATTTTTAGTTTAATTGTCAAACATTTCATATTTTCTGAGACAGTCAGAACTCCCTAAACATTCGTTTGACAATGCTTTCATCGATGGCCCACATAATTAATACGACATACGCCCATTTTTCTGCATGCATAAAAAAGATAGCCGCACATTATGCACCAGCCGGAATTAAGTAATATTATTACGCGTAATTTCACTTATAATAAACTAGTTAAAAAAAAATTTTTCTTTAGTTTACTTTCAAATAATTGAAAAGAATATTTTTATTAAAATTTTGTCAAATATTTAAAATCTCTGCTTTAAATTTTCAAATAAATAAAAAATAAAAAGAATTAAACTCGTATATCGAGCAAAGCGAAAGTGTTGATCTATAAAAGATAATTAATTAACATTAACGCGATGAATAATTATTTTATTTACATGAACTCTTCTTACCTACCAATATTTACGCTTATTTTTAACATTTTAATATAATTACAAAACTGATATTTTAAGGGAAAGAAACCCCATTGAAAAATTGATCCAACGTAGGATTATCATCAATAATTTGCTGAGGCAGGTTTGCGATTCTTCTCAAAGTATCTAGATTATTAATGAATCGAATGCGCCTTTGACGATTTTGTCGACGAATTACTCTGTTTACATTTTGTTGTCTTCGTTGATTTTGTCTTCTTTGACACATTTTCAATTTTTTTATTATTATTGATAAATGTTTAGTAAGTGGTTTAGAAAAAATTCAGACTATTTATAAGAATATTTCCAGTTTTTGAGGTAACTTTATATGGATATATTGATCAATGATAACAAATTTGAGACACGATTAAAAGATTAATTTTATAAAAAAAACGGTTTTAATTAAATAATACAGTAGTCTCGTAAGTTATCAACGTTATATATGCCGCTTTTAACCGAAGGTAACCATGGAAACAATAGTAATTAATGTGATGTGCTTGATACGAGTAATTTCTTGAACCTTAAAAAACTATTTACTAAATATGCCATTCCTTTGCATATGAGATAAGAATCCGTTATGAGTTTGAAATTGAAAAATACAAGGTGTTTATCGTAAAGGCAAATAACATTTTATTCAATCATTTGATTTATAAGAAATTAACCAAAAGTTTATATTAAAATTCAATTTTTTGATTAGTAAATTATAGTGATACCA